TCGCAAACCTGTGTGCGCATGCTACGTAGACCCACTAGAGGTCAGTGCGTTGACCCCATTTAAACGCGTTTACAAATTGTAAACGCATCTTTTTGTGAGTTTACGATCGGCGATCGTGATCGCCGTTTTTCTGTGATTCTACAAAAGTGAGCATGAACGCAATCGTGTTTTAAACTAAACGTGTAACAGATGCCTGATTCTGGCCGTCAAAATCAAGCATGAACGCGCCCTTATTCTCCTTGCTCTCCCAATTTTTTCCCTCTTCAAAAGTCATTCCCCTTTCCCCATTTCTTTACACCCTTCCTAAGATCAACATCATTCTCTGTCTTCCTTGCTACTCCCTTGCTCCTCTTCTTCTACTTTATGAGGTTCTTCTCCCTATTTCTCTTTTGATATCACTTTACATTGCGTGATATATATCTTTGTGTTTTTCTACCCTAAGATTGACTTGTGGCTTGTGGTGAGGGTTATCGACCACAGGTAAAACACCATTTGATGAATCGTTTTTTGTGGTATGGGGCTTGTCACCAAATGTAAGCTCATCTGATAAATGCTACTTGAGAAACCTCTCTTCTCTTTCTTCTGGATCATCATCCATGTTTTATCCTCTTGATGGATTTAGATTAGAAATCAAGATAAATCAGATTAAAGATGATCAGCATCACCTCTTGGTAATGCAATACTAATTAATGTGTCAATAATCTTACAATTTCTTAGAAAAAGATTTGCAGGGATTTGTATTTATGTCACCAGTCTTGTTTAATGCTACACATGTGATGCAATTAAATCCTTTGGAGGTCTTAATTGTAATTAAAGGAATGATGTTTTCTTCTATGGAGATTGATTGTATTGATCAGATCCCTTTGGTACCTTGCAAACCAAACATGTTAGTACCACAGCAGATATTGGTAAAGAAAAAAAAAGGCTCAATTTTGCATCAGGCAAACATTATGAAGAAAGGGAGTACATTGAACTCTGTGAAGAAAATTTGTATGAAATTGTTTCATATTCTTTAATAATAAGTTCTTGAAGTTCAAAAGTTAAATTCAAATTGATATCAATTATTCTTTCCAAAGAGTCATACAAAAGAAGCTCAAGTTCCCATTCAGATTGTCGCAGTTAGAATAAAATAGCAAAGATTTAATTGGTCAGAGGGAACTGGAATGAAAGGTCATTCACCTAGTCAGATTTCCTGACAATTTGAAAGGGCACAATAGTTTCATGATTTATGTTGGAAGAGTATAGGCCAAACCCTTCATTAGCGAGTTTCTCCTTCACTAATTGGTTTAGTAATTGCTTCTCCTTTGGAATTCAGTGGAAACTCAGAGCTCCTTCTTCCATTTACAGAAAGGTCAGTGTGGTACGTTTTCCAAGATGGACAACTCAAGGAGTGCCCACTTTTTGTATGTTTACACAGAGACAACAACTTCTCATAACAATATTTCATGGAAACTTTGCCCAGGGTGGCACAAACCTAGCAACATAAAGGTGGTCTTCGGTGGTCTTCAAGTGGATAGTGGAGCAATTTGTCTGATTTAATTCCCAAGTAAAATTGAGAGATATTCAAACATGATTCAAAACCAAATCTCCATCATTACATTTTTCATAACAGTGCTACTCTGTAATATGCTTAATGTATATAACCGTATACCATACATGCACCTGTTCTTATCTAATGTACCGCAGCTGCACTCCAAATTGTCGGCATGGTGTTACATAGTTCAAACAAAAGGAAGATTGTATGAAGATGTAAGAAAACACTAGAATAAAAATCATTCAATTTAAAGCTAGTCTTTGTTCAATTTCCCTTATAAGACACTTACGGCTTTCCTTGTCGATAGTCTCTACCAATAGGTGAAATACATCTTTTCTGCAACATGATTGTACATGTTAAAGGTAATGATGAGTTTTCCATCTTTATTATCACATTTATCTTTTGCTAACATAGCTAGACGTTTAGTACTTCTACTTCTACGACGATACTCAGCAGGATCCATAAGTCAGGATGTAGTGCTGAGGAATAAACTATGACAGTATGGTAGTATGACAGCTAGTTGCCAAACCCTATGAAATCCCATCAAAGTATTGAAACAATATTGGTCTCAGACAAGTGTTTCCTCTTTCATATTGAAAATTAGAAGATGCTATTTGAATGTGATTCACACACTTGTGTTTTATCATCATTTTTAAGTACAAAGATTCCTGCTTTAAAAGTCCTTCAGAGTCTTGCGCTAGGCTAGATCAGAACCCAATCTCCCATGGTGACTGTTTTCACGCTGCCTGGAGCGGCCTGGAGCGCAGACTGCAGGGTTTATGTTACTGTGAATGGCAACTTGCTAGCTCAGCTCATGTATCAAATCAGCTATCTTGCTAAATCAGAGGCAGAGAGATGCAAAGCTTTCAAACACTGATTGTTCTTTAAAGGGAAAGTATCATTGAATCCTACAGTGTTTGATGCACAGGAAGATCACCCATAATTCACTTTTGTACGTGTTATCGGCGTCCCTTTATGATTCCTTTAAATTGACCTCTAACGTTACTTCCTATTTCATCCTCTCCTACTTCCAGTCCTTCTACATGAAATTCTTGGGATCTTAATCCACTCTTGTTACTAAGTTATTAGTTTGAAGAGTAAAGCGGCTTCTTGATTTGGATTCGGCTTGATGCAAGAGGAAGGGGGGTCAAGAGGTTAAATGTTAAGCACCCCCCACAGGAGTTAGAAACCCCCCATTTCGATTTTTGAAAGTTTAGAAATTTGTTTTGATAACCGTGATATTTCAAGCTGGGAAGGAAATTTGCAACAAATAAGCCCTGATTTGGGTGTAATTTTCTTGCCTAATCCACGGAGCATATTTAGGAGAGTTAGAGGGAGAGAGAACGAGAGACTTTGTAACCTCATCTTTTGAACTTGAGACCTGTGGGTGGTGGGTAACATGAATTCCATTTCAATTTTCATAACAGTGTGATACATGGAAAAGAAGAGTCATATTTTGGGGGTATGGATTCTTGTGAAGATAACCCATGAATGTACTTAAAAGTAGAAATGATGACTGTGGCAAGTTTGTCTTTTCTTTGGAAGCTTGATGGGAGGTCTGGAGGATGATAGAATGGTTGTTTTTATTTTTAATAGCAATTATTATTCGTCGAGGAATGAGTGGGTAAGCAGGTGTAACTATGCCAGCAAGAAATCATGAGGAGTGGGAGGAGGAGGGGGGGGGGGGGGGGGGGCAAAGTTTGTAGTGAGGGGGGTAAATTGATACTTGAAGCAATGAATAGAGGAGGGGAATTGGATCAGTGACGAGGTGTGGAAGAAAGTTCCAAGTGAATAAAAGAGATAATCACAAGATAAAAAGGTGTGCTTTGAGTTATTTTATAGGCTTCTTCATAAAAGGGCAGATGAGCTCATGAATAGATGCTTTGAGAGCTTTCTTGAAAGATGGCAGTTTTAAAATCACGCTTTGTCCAAACAGTTGCAATGGATACTATTCACAAATTTAAAGTCAAACCTTTGCATGTATCACCTCGGAAAGAATGACCGGGAGTTACCCCAACAGATCGTTTGATATAGGGCAAACCACATTATTTGAGTAGTGTCGGGGTTATATCCATCTCGTAGATCTCTGAATAATCTTAGTGCATTAAAGATTGATGAATGGTATTTTACTTGTTTTGTAAGGAATGAAAAATGCAGGCAAAATTAGGTTTTAGTGTGGATTACGAAAGCTCAGGTCGAAGGTTCAGCGTGATTGCATTGCCGCAAAACTAGATTTCAATTGAGATGGCGTGTTAAACAACACAAACTCTATTTACCTGATTGTTGTCGTAGGCCATTGATACATCCAGTCAATGTGCCAGGGCTTTCTTCGTGCATTTTTAACCAAGAAACCCATAATCACCTGCAACCGTTTGATGTGGTTTCTAGCGCTTGCTTACCATACATGCCAAGCCCCATTAAGTCAGCTACAAGTGTGATAATGTCCGCTATCACCAATTGAAAGGTGGCAAAACCATAATCAGCTGTCATTGGTCTTTGTGCGTGCCTTGTGATATATTACAACTCGCCTTGTTCAAGGTTTGTTTAATGAGCATGCAATTGTTGAACTTGATCGGTTCGGGTGTGAAACGGAGTGTCAAGCTTTTGTTGGTAGAGATCAAATCAAGAAACCTTTTGTGCGTCTCATTTTTCAGCTCATTTGTGCAACAGAAATTGGCCAGGGTATTTATGAATTGTAATCTGTAAATACTACAAGCACGAGCAAGTTCATGCCATTCTGAATCTGTGATATTTACTTTAATGCCATTACTTTTCCTTTCGGAAGTCACTCACCTTTGCAACGAGGTGCCCTTTTTTCAATTATTGGGGTTATAATCCAGCCTAATTTCTCCATTTTGATATAAGGATATTGATAAAAGGAAGAAAACCTCAAATTGCAGGTACTTAACTCTGAAGGATTTTCATTTCATTCAAGCTTCTAAATGAAATATGACATGACTTTTCAAGAAGGGATTAAGCAACCGCATTTTGATTTGCTCATCAAAATTTCTATTTACTCAGCAATATGTAATAAGAGAAAATGACTGCAAAGCAAATGTCCCATAATATTGAATCACATTAAAAAATAGAATTTTCTTCAAGATGTGCAAGGTTGTGTTCCTTTGGAAAATGTCTATTGTGATTAAACCGAGTTGCTTGCTCTCTAATCCCCTTTGTGATCAGCTTCTCAACATCATTACCTTTATCATCATCATCATCATCATCATCATCATTATCATCATCATTCCCATCGTCATTGTAATCATCAATGCTCCTTTTTTCACAAAGCACATTCACTCCTTCCATATCTCCCTTAGATTGTCTTCCATTTTGAATGTAATTACAAATTAGGGATACAACCAACCTCCCAGGTCATTCCACTCAAATGGAAATCAGTGTCACTCTCCTCGAACTGGGTTAAAAAAACATGAATATAGAACTTATTCATTTGATGCTTAATTTATTTTCTATTCCGTTTTTGTCTTCTCTTGTCTGCAGATCTGCAGGGCAATGGTCTCGCACAGTACAGCCGTGAAGGGGTTAAAGACTTCTCCCTGATTTACACAGACACAGATGAAGATCAACTTCTGGTTGGCGCCAGGTATGTCTACAATTTGGTATATTCATGTCAGAGTTCTTATTTTATTCTTTATATTACCATATGGCAAGGACATAAGTGCCACTTTAGAGTAATTTTTTTCTCCATATGCATAGTTTTTTGAGACCAGATACATGAAGTTGCTTAACTGTTGAAAACGTAATATGGAATGTTTAAAACTGAACACGTCCTTCAAACTTTGTACATTCAAATGAGGGCATATTAACTAATGATCAATTAATTGATAGCTTTTTTACAAAATAAATGTGATATCAAAATACTTTTTTTCTAGATTTACGTGATTTAAGAGACTTAATCACATGTTCCAATCATGTAAAACATATAGATTTTTATTTTTTACGTTGAGGAACTTGCGAAAAGGAATCGTCTGGTTTTTAAAACTGTTTCTTTATGTGTTAATTCACAGTAATCATGAAACATTCAGATTTAAATGTCAAACATGTCTATGTACAGTCATTGTCTAATGAAAGGCTTTTAATAACTTATTAATTCAAGAGAGGAGAACTACACATCATCAAATTTAAACAAAAGCAAATAATGGTCATCCAGAATCTCATCTTTATCTACTTTAAAAGTCATCTTCTTTACACTGAACGAAAGATGATAAGGTGGAAACATGTGAGGATCCCTCCTTGTAAAACACCCTCGCTTCATCTATACCCTGCAATCTTTTATTTACATCCCACGTATCTTTGTTGAATCCAACAAATCTTAACACCAATGCCTCCAGGGGAAATACAGAGTCACTGTCCAGACAAGCATTCAACTCTCTAACGAACAACCCCCAAAAGAGAGAGGTATTCAACATGGAGAATGTTACCTTGGAATGTAACCGATCTGAATGGCGACATTTGTACCCACCCATAATGGCGTTTAATCAAAGCTTCTGCATGTCCCTAATTGTTTGGACGAGCATCTTTCCTCGGGTAATGCGATCCTCCTGATTGGAATAAAAATTCAAATTGCCATGTCCCAATTGGATTTTTGCAAGATTTCTTGAAGCCGACCAAGGGATGATTACGCCAAATGAAAGTTTCAATTTTTTTTGAGTGGAGGGATGCGCTCATAATGGGAAGGGCATAATTTCACCACTCGATGTAGCAAAGTGGAATGAATTTTATGAACATAGAATCTTCCTTCTTGAAATTGTCATTTATGGGAGAAAGTGGATGAACACTTATTTTTTTTCTTCTCTTGTATATTTCTCCATGTCTTTGTCCCTTTATGTAACTTTCAAATGACAATCATACAAGTTATGCGCTGAAATCCAAAGGGACATTTATTCAGCAGAAGATGTAGAAAAACATTCTCTTGCCTCTCACCAAACAGAATAATGAGAAATAAGTTTTATCATGATGAAAGCAATTTTGTTCAATAATGCTCACTTTCTTTGCCTTCCAGAGATACATTATTGCGACTAAGCCTGGACACATTATCAGAAATAGAGGTAAGTATTCATCAGAATAATTATTTGAGAGTATCTATTGATGAGAGATGGAAATTGAGAGTTTGGTTTGCATGGGGATGATTTAGGTTCAATCTGCAAAGTTTTTACTCATCAAAAGTATTTCAAGGTATACTCAATTATCCTGAATCACAACTGGGATCATCATGTTTGCATTCTTTGTGAGATATTATATTATATGCCCAGGTACGATGCACAGAATGAGCTGCGGTCTTAAGTATCATTTACATACCAAATTATTCTGGTAAAAAGTTGTTTTTCTATATGAGAGATGTAAAATGAGCAGATTATCATTCAAAGCAATGCACTTTTTGGACAAGCTTTATGTCCAGGTAGATAATAAAACCAATGAATTTATGGAGTGATTTAAGGATTCGACCTCCAATATTCGGAGCTAACCTGAAGAAAAAAAGCAATGGGAATGTTATGTCTTTTTTTAAAGAAAAGTATGTTGGTTGTCATTTGAAATTTTGGAGAACAAAACGAGACCAAACGATTTAGTACCATCCTTCAGTGACAAAATAAATGGCTCATTTCATTTCTTTTGAATAGACTTTTCTTCCAAAGTACAATCTAATGCATATTGACTGAAGGATGATACCAAACTAGTATTTCAAAAAGCAGTAGAAAGAGTTTGGCTAAAGAAGACTTTGTGAATGCTCTTGTTTCTTCTCTTGAAACATATTGAATGAATTAGGAAGAAGTAGATGCAATCTTTTCTTCACACCAAATTCATGGTTATCGGGCAGATACTTTCTTCTCTTACAAAATATACTAAAGTCACCTCAAACTCCACTGGCAAACAAAATATGTATAGGATGAATGATTTGATGTAGAATCTGTGGGCATTTAGACTATTAGGTAGATCTCCATAGATAATAAAAGGGTAACACAAAGGAACGTTATACATTTAATTGACAAAATCTTAAGTACTATAACTCTGAATGAGACAAAGGGATTCAACAACTTAAATTGCTACATCTGAAGGATAAAGTGCCTGTTAGCCCCTATTGGGTTTGAAGACATTAGAACTCCTATACCTCCCACCAGTTTTGAATGTGTCTTAAGGGTGCATTTCCATGTCGTAAAGTTTTCATGTCTGTTCATTTGAGCATGGCTAAAGATAGCAGGGATCAGAGTTGTGGTTTACATGTCCCTATCGGGTCACCGTGGCTGTTTTAAATCTACATGGCAAATCTTGAAACTGTGACTTGAATAAGTCGTTATGCTAGGTCATTTCAAGATAGGCACCTCATCATTTCTTTCGCTTTAACAGTGAAATATCTCCTTAACCGCTCATTGATGTTATCACCCAGTCCCAACAATATATCACACCACTTCCCAACCAATATTGACTTATTCTACTAACCCCCTTTTTGTCCATTCTCTCCCCAGTTCATATCTGAATCAAAGAGGGAAATATTGTCACTCAAAAAAATTAATATCTTTGGCAAACATTAGATCCGCTCATTCCGTTTCTTTGAACTTGATGACTGTGGTGTGTGTGAGTGCAGCCAGTAAATTGGGGTCACTATTGGCATTGGGCAAACTAAACCTTGTGATACGAGTTTGGAAATGTGTTTGCTTGAATTGTTCTTGGTGTTGAAAGGGAGATGCTAGAGCGTTGACGAACGAACGAACGTCAGTTGCAGGTAGTTGGTATCATTCGTAAAATGGATTGGCATGAAGATGAGAGAGGGCAGAGAGAGAGAGAGAGAGAGAGAGAGGGGGGGGGGGCTGCAGACAGACATAAAGACAACAAAACAGAGAGTTTATATTTTACCAGGATTGAATAAAATTACAAATTATTGTAAAGATATAGTAATTTTGGAGGAACAATAGAAGTTGGATAGGATTTACTAAAAAGAGAAATATTAGAGACCTGATTGGAAAGGAATGAAAAAAAGTGCAGAAGGAAGTTGAGAGAATGAAATAAATTATGCAGTGGAGTTTGATGAAAACAGTTTGCCAATTTGTTTATAAAGCTTGCAGTTGGCATACTTTTCAGGGATGGCAAGAGAAGAAATGATTAGGGATGAAGTAAAATCGTAAAGAAGACGGTTACAAAATAATTAAAAACGGATCATCCCTTTAACTTATGGATAAAAAGAAACAAAACTCTGGAATGCATCATATGGTGAATTACGTGAAAGTGAAGCAAAGGAAAAAGGACAAAAAACAAACCAAAATGTGACTTATCTGAGGTAGAATCAACAAAAAATGGAAATAGAAAAGATACGATACCAGATAAGATAGAGGAAAACTAAAGAGCATCAGTGATAGTGAGAATACATGAAAAAACATAAGAATTAGCATCAAGGTAGAGATTGATGTTTGAGATTGATATTGAATGCCGATGCTCGCCTGTAGCAATGGCAGATCCTCTAACCTACTCCATGCTCTCTCTAGAAATAAAAGATACAGTCCTTGGCAGCTAATATCAAATGTATTATTGTTCCATCAAATTTGGGTGCAAGTTCATGGCTAGTTTGAAGCAAGGAATGTTCGGTCCTCCGAACAAATCATATATTTTTCATCTTTTCTTACATTTTGTTGTTTCATTTCCTTCTTTACAGAAAGCAGAGTGGAAGCCTAATGAGATAAACCAAGCCATATGCGAGAGCAAGGGCGAATCACCAGTAAGTAGAAACCTTCAGTTCTTTTTTAGGGTGTTTTTGTTTTGTTTGATACATTTCTCCCAATTTTAATCAATACATACCATTCTTTGTATCTTAATGTTTTCTTTAAGACCCAGGGATATATTCAATAACTTGTGTCATTTACATGAAGTAACTGCCTATGAACTTGTCCCTACTTAAGTCCAAGATGTACCACATTTGACCTTAATTAATATAGCATAGATGACCATAACTGGTTTGGTATACAAGGCAGCAATCCTTCTTTTTTTTTAAATTATATATTTTATTCTTTTACTGAAATATTACTATATGCTGCTCGTTCTGCTTGCAAATTTTATCTTAAAATAGAGGATTTAATAAAAGTCTGAAGCTTGTTCCAGATCCATGGGAACGTCCCATATGGTATTAGGTCATGAATAAATTTGTGCAAGGTTATATAGGCCCTATATATCTGGGTTTTTGACCACATCGTCGTCAGCGGCAAGGCATGGTTATGATAAAGAGGAAACTGGGTTTGTGTTTCAAACTTATACCGATTCCTTGCGGGGCTCTGTCGGCTTCAGGGCACTTTCTAGAATTTCATATACACACCTGGTTCATGCCCTTGAACCGTTCCACTTCTGAAATTTGCGCAAACAGAGCGGATTCACTTCCTCGCCCATCGCAAACCCATTTCCCTTTTTTTCTCCCCCCCCCCCTCCCCACAGATGAAATCATGATTGTCAAATCCAATATAGTTTAAGATTTCTGCTAAATATCAGCACTTCATTTTTTCCGTCTGTATCCCTCAAATTCTATCAATGGGGTTTCTGTAATAAATGGACAGAAATGTTGCTTTTCATCTCTTTTAAAATGATTTGATTTTCCCTTGTACTTCTTGCTTCTAGAAGTGGAATGCACTTTCCTGTGCTGTAAATGAAGTTTGCAAAAGACTGATAAGGCAATATTTTCCAATTTCATTCGCACGCAAACACTATGTTGAGAAAAGATGCATCTAGGTCTCCTTGTTATGTGAAGGTCTTCTTTTCAAGAAAAAAAAAAGGTCTTTGCTTTTTACGGTAATGAAAAAGTATTATCGTGCACATACACATCAAATTTAAACTTTAGAGCCCAACAAGTGCTATGAATTCTACATTCTAACCTTGACCTTCTAGAGAAGTAAAGTCACATTAAGTGTCTTTGAAACATGAAGGAACACAAGCTATCTACCATTGGATCTAGAGACAGAGAGATTATCCATTACCTTGTCAAAATAATAAGCCCTTTTCCTGTCCTTGTTTGATCAACGTAAGTGTATACATCCATATTGTTCAATAAATGACAACTTGTGCTAAAATGTCTCTGTGGATTTCGGGTGTTTTGCTAGTACCATATTGAGAAGCAATTTTCATGGAAGATCAACATTTCTCTGCTTCTTGAGGCACCCCTTCAAGTTAATGAAAATAAGTTTGGCATTTGAAACAGGTCTTTAAGTCATTAAAAACGATCCTACTTGACATTAGTTGTGTCAGCCCAAGGTAACATCATCGTTCTTTTAGGGTCCCTCTCACAATTGTTGAATCTCTTTTACAGCTTATATGTTTCTGTAAAGGTTACCTTGTTCAACTTGAGAATACAAATGTCTGAAAAGATGGCAGGGTGTTTCATTTTGTGCACACCTGTTTCTCAGGGTTTGCCCCTCAGTCCTCATGTCTGTTCTTTGAGCAAGAATTTTGTAGAGAGAAAATATCTGGGTTGTTCCTCTTCACGTTTACCTCTCTGTCTCTGTCTCTGGTGCTTCAAGTCAAATGTTCCTCTGTAAGAGGGAGTAATTGATGTGGCTTTCTTTTGAAACTCTTCTCCACTTTTCCATACTGATCTAATATTCATAATGCTAGTGCGAAGAAAATAACTATAACCCTTTGGCCTGTGATTCTAACGTGTCAACATCTTTTAGAATGCAGTATGAGGGTGATAGATTAACTTGCTAATGCCAATAAATCTGAAGCATGAGCAGCTGATTAAGTTTTAAATTATATGACGTTGTTTAAGGATTTAGTTAGTTGTCATTTTGGTGTTGGTATTATAAAGCCATAGAGAAATCAGAGCTAAAGTAGCGAAATACCAATCATGGCAATTTGACTTGTCAAATCTTCTCTCTTCTAGGAAAACCCGGTGTCACTGATTAAATATGATTCATCTGCAAATGTTTCTTTAGTCCAATGTCACGTTTCACTGTCAAGCTCGCCTTAAGATCAGAGAATATCTCTTACATGGTTCTTGATACGTGGGTCTACATCTTTTCCCTGTATGTGTTCATGAAGTATTGCGTTGTGACGGGTTGGAGGAAACCCTCTCGACACCGCCAGAAGGTGCAGCCGCTAACGCTCTTCCTGCTGATGGCAGATAAGAGCCAAGCACGTAATCACTCTCTTCTCGAGTGCTACCAGGTTCTTTCAAAGGCATTCTCATACCTACTCCAGTTTCTCTGCTCTCATTTTGACAAAAGATTGAAATAACAAACAGATGGATCACCTGTAAGGAAGTGACATTAGACTTTAGAGAAAGGCCTAAGACGTTCGTTGCTACCTCCGAGAGAGTTACCTCATCATGATTCAGATATTCCTTCAAGCATCAATAAGAGAAACTGAACAAGTAATCCAGAAATGGGATTCCCCCCTCATACGATTGCCAAGACTTTGAGGAAGGGGAGTTAAGAAAGCGATAAAGCATCTTCCAGACTTGAGGAGTGATTTTGAGGAGTATTACGTCAAGGGCGAAAGAACGAAACCAGACAACCATGTCAATTTGTTCAATATGTTGTTGATAATCTCATTCAGCCATGAGTTATTCAGAAGGGCCTGCCCCATGCCACACCTATGTTTTAAATGTTGGTATTGTTTTGTAGGTTGTTGTGATTTGGGACATGTATGTCATTTTCCAGATAAGATCTACCAAAGAAATAGCATTTGATTATTAGGAGGGGAAAAGGGTAGAAATGATTAATAAAAAAGTGAAAAGGGAATGGGTATAAAGTGCAGTGTCTTTGTGTCAGCTGGTCTGTGTGTGCAGTTATAGCATGTAGTTTGCACCTTGATAGAGCAATTCCCCCTGATTTTTCCCTTCATTTTGAGGCTAATATCTTCCCTATTACTGTAAAAATCCCCAGGGTAGAGATTTTGACTGGGGTTTTTCCTCTAAATTACTTCTCAAGCGATCTAGGCTTCGTGAGTCATCTAATTAGATTGCAGTTTGATCAAGATTTAGATGTCACATATTTAAAGCGTTATCCCGTCCAGGCCTGTCTGAAGCCATGCTAATTATATCCCACTTCTGGGTTGGAATCATGAGAAAAATATTGATATATATCGATAGTAAATGAAAAGTCCTTGAATCATGACACATTAAGGTGGGACATGCTAATTGAGTTTCATGGATTCATGGATTCAATTTCAAAGTTAGGATATGCATTATTTGATCCATGTGTAAAGAGAGACTGAAAGGCTCTGAAGAGTTGAGGGCATCATTGTCCAGTTTCCCCCTGACCATTTCCTCATTAAGAATTACGGACCGGACCAAAGAACATTCCATTTGGGATCTGTAGAAATAAGGAGATGGTTATTGCAAGGTTAGTACAAAATTGGCAAAGCAATCATTGCATATGTTGAAAGAAGAAAGAGAAGAAAAGGATGAGCAAAATATTTATTTGTAGAAGCAAATTTGCAGAGAAACAGTGAGAACATACTGAAAAATAGCTCCTATACATTTGTTCTGTATTTTAATTTTAGTTTTTGTGGCTGTAATTTTATAGATGAAAAAAGTTTTAAATGATCAAAATTCAGGTGTATTAAATCTATAAACCTTAGGATCGAATAGTGTAGTAGAAAAGTAAAGGTAGAGGGGGTGCATGGTAGAACGTTGGAAACACCTAGTCCACTAATTAAAAAATCAGGGTTGGGGGGGGGGGGGCAGAAGCTTATGATATAACTGTGAAGTAGCATTATGGGTAAATTTAATACTGAATTAATGTGCATAGAAAATATACACAAACTTGATGAATCAGTCATACTTTGAAAATTTGAACCGGAGGGGTTGTTTTGATGGCGTGAGGCATACTTGTGGGCTTAACTAACAGGAAATCAACATTGTCATGTGCAGGCACGCTGACTTGTTCTGCTGCCCTCGACGTGTCACAACCATCGTCATTAACGCTGACACGTTACGCAGATGAGCACGTCTTGTTCTCGCAAGACGTGCCTCCCGAATATCATTTTTAGTTTTGCTTTCATAAACGTTTCTTTCTTAGCGATACGTGATAACTAGTATAGGAAAATGATAATTTGAAAATGGAGTGTGATGAGGATGATTGATATTAGAGATGATATCATTCATGTGTAATCATTAAGAGCAGTATCCTATATATGTCAATCATTAAACTGGTACTTCATGAAGAAATCAAGAAGCCCCCTCCCCCAAAAGGAGGTGCAGTGAATATAGGCATTTTCCATTGACAAGGGCTGAAAAGCATCCTTTAGTTTCTACCATCGAATTTGCTTACTTTTCCATAAAAAGTATTTTCACACCTTTTTTTTTCTTGGGACATATATGTATTTCTCCTGCAATCATCTCTTAAGAAATTAGTTGTTTTGAGATGTACTACGCAGTGCTGTAACTGTAATCAGATTTAAAACCAATTTCATTCCAAGATACATTTCCGATTCCTTCAGGTACATGTGAACATGATATTGCAGAGTGTTTGAGTAATTCAGTTACTATCTAATCCCCGATACATCAAGAAAGTCGTTATTGGACAATCTCTTACAAGGTATTCCGGAAATCATCAAACAGGTGTGGATATCTTACAGGGTCTTCATTACATAATCTGATTATCTTATATCCATGGCAGGAGCGTTATCGAATTAGGAATGGAGAAATTTACTCATTACAGGACTTAATTTCTTTCCGCCCTTAATTTTTGTTAATGCACTTGATACACTCATCTTTTTAAAGTTTCTTCCTTT